TCCTACAATGACGCTCAACATGATTTCATTCAATTCTACCTTTTACAAAAAGTCAAAACTTGAACCTTTGTGTCGAGGGTATCTAGCGTAAATGAATTTCTCCTACAGAAAGCCAGGTTGTTTTAGAATTTTTGTGAACGGGCTAGAACAAGAAAGAGATCGGTGCCCGTTTGTTAGCAGTTGAAATCGAACAAACGAGGTCGGCGGGAGCGGGAACGTTGAAACCGACGTCGAAACACATTGCCGCGCTCCGTTTCGGGTATCGGGGCGCAAACGGTCACGCTTTGAATAAACTTCGCTTCTCTACGTAGCAATGAAATATATACCATACCGGGGCAAGAGCGAATTTATGCAGCAGCCTGTTCCACCAGCGCGGTTCCGGGCGCGAGCGTCCGGAAAAAAAAAAGGGAAAATCTTCATCGAACGCGACTGTGCCGGCGCCGGAGCCGGCAACGGGCAATTGCACTTTCATATCTGCGAACCCTTTGTGATTCATGAGTCGCAGGCGTAGGTATAACTTTAGAATTTCAGCCGTGAACGCCGCGAAACTTAGCATTTCCTCTTCGCTTTTCGTATTTCCGACGCGAACGCCGAAACTATAGACTAAAATGGAACGCGTTTCGCTCGTCGAAATTTACAGTCGGATGTTAGATTTCTCAATAATTAGGGCACGCAAATGAAAATAAACGCTGTCCGATTTCGTCAGAAACAATGAATTCATCCATGCGATGTTTCATCGGGATATAAACTCGGGTTTGAAAATTTTTACACAACCGTTCCCAACTGTTTTTGGTTTGTTCGTGAATTTCGCAAGCCGCGGAATGAAATATCGATCCAAGGATTACTGCTTTCGCACGCTGTCGTGTTAACCTTCGCACTTCGCGCAGGCTACGCTGCCGCACTGGGAATACCAAATGCATCGAGCAAGAGGCAAATATTATGAGCCAAAAAAAGGAGGTTAAAATAAAATAACGTCGCAGTACCTGAGAGCTTTTGCCCAAGAGGCTCGCAAACTTCATTCACCTACTCTATGCGATGTAGTTTTAAGAATGGTACACTTATATAGTCTTAGAGAATTTCCCTACATAAGTAATGTAGATAAAAATTATACGAAATCGAAAAAAAATGCAAAACAGGTTAATCCAAGGCTTTCCTCATTCATTTAACCCTTTCACTACGAAAGGCGTAAATATACGGTCTGAAAAGTCCATAGATATATACGAAAGGCGTAAATACGTATATGCGCCTGCCATATTGATGGATTATTCCGAAATCGCGCCGTAGCGAAAGGATTAATACTCCATGAATATTAGCATTGTTAAAAATAAATTATTAATATATCGAGGGAAGCTGCACATCAATACTTTTATTTCTATAAAATGAATATTTCAACGAACAATAAAAAAGTATTTAAAAACTACCCGGGAATTAAAATGATCCTTTTCATTCTTTTAATACCTTTAATAATAGAGTCGCACAATACAATAGAACGAAGCCTGGAATTACACGACGAACAATAAAAATCGATAGTTCATCGACTCATCGGTCGGTTTTCACCTGAAAAGAAAAACAGCAAGAAAATTCTGCTCGTCAGCAGGAAGCGTAGCGTGAAACCTGCCCGCGGTAATAATTTCAACGAGCCCGTTGTCACGGCTCGCGCTGCTGGCCCATTGACAATATCATCCCCCGGTGATTGATTTCTCGTTGCGTGGGCTGTTCATCGCACGCTCTCCACGACTGCGACGCAATCACGGCCACTTAATAATAACGTGGCCGTGATCGCGCACGCGTCCCTCGAATAATGCGTTCCGCGTTAAGCCCAAACTGCGTGTACCTTTGAATGCGACTGGCGTTTGTACTTAACGCATCGCGCTCGGCGCCCGTCGAGCCCCGCGAGACGTTGCATGCACGGGCAGTTTGAAGATCGGGTCGATGTTCCACGAATCAAACGACATTATTTAAGTGTCGTAACACGTTTATACTCGAATATTACACATGGTTCTATTTCTGTCTGTTATAGCTCACATCGATCACGTGCGAAAGATCGCCGGCGTGGATCACGTGGGTATAGGCGCCGGCTACGACGGAATCAACCTGTAAGTCGTTTTACCTTTTTTTCACATTAGTTTCAAGTGGTTTACTCAGGGAACTTATAAAAAAGCGATTACGCGACTCTTGAGAGAGGCGGGAGAACTTCCGATAAATCATAATAATTATAATCCAGGTGCTGCGAGTAAATGAGCAAGCTTTAACGAACGCACGGTGAAAAAGGAGCACCGTAATTCCTCGCGAGACTCCTCTAGGCTTTCCTCTGTATGTATAGGTCTCGGCCGCGATTCACGAGGTTCAACGTGCAACTACCGTAAAGCGTGTGTTGTTTTCTTTTTTTATGTCTACGCCAGGCGTTGACCAGCGTGCCATAAAAGCGTAATACGGCTGGAAGATGAAAACGTGGGTGCCGCGTGCCGGTTCCTCTCCTCGTGGAAAATTCTGTACGTTTCCTTCGTGAAATGCTTTTTTACAGCCGTCCGAGGATAAATCGATCGTCGCTCACCATAAAACAGGCCACGAAATAATGTTCAAGAGAGTGTAAGAAAATAGCAGTTGTAAAATAAATAATACGGGCATTCAATATCGCAAAATGGTTAAAACCAGCAAAATAAACGCAACGAAAAACAACCAGATAATTATAATTAATTCTTGCTTAATTGATTGAGATTTCGGATGGACTTTCTAACTGAGAAATGCAACGTTTATATAATAACGGCGGTCGTTACGTTTTGTTTGCTTTTTAAGTTATTGGATGTTTAATAAAATTTAATCGCTCTCGGACGGGTAAGGCGGTAGAAACTATCGGACATTAAACGCAACGACTATCGGACGTCCGGTTTGTTAGATTACGATGCGTTATATCGGTGGGGTTGGGGCGCTTGCTATTAAACCAGGGTGAGAAGAAAAAATTGAACGAGCGAGGTGGAAAAGGTAGTGAAACATGGAAAAAAGAGAGCGCGGGCAGAAGCAGCCAAAAAGTTGACCGGTTTTCCAAATCCGTGCGAAAAACACGCACGGGCGTGACTACCGGCAACGCGGGGCGGACGGTTGAAAAATAACGTGAACACAACCAGGAGTTATTTCTACATTGAACAATAAAAAAAGAGCGAAATAAACGGCGAATGAAAAGAAAAAGGTATTGCCGTGTTTCCTATCGAATGCTCCTCGCCTGCAATAGTTTTACTGTTTTAGTAGACAACTGAAAGCTTCCGGGCAGCAACAAAGAATTGTTTCTAAACGAATAGTTAGATTTTTAACTAAACAATTTTCGTCGAAAATCTTTCGTAATCTATTTAAATAGTAAATGTTGATGAAAATAACTGCAGGAACTAACGCTTTTCGTTGCTATGTTGGGAATTAAATCTGAAGTGAAACTTCACTTTGGAATGAAAGTAATGCACGATTCGTTCTGTCCGCATGCAGCTCTTAATACCTTGCGCGCGACGCTTTGAAATTAAAAATTTCATTCAGCATTAAGGATAGAATTCCAAGTATTCGTGCCTAGAATTGTATAGCATACTTGAGCTGACAATTTTCGTTTAATCTGGTTAAGTGATTGTGATTAAAATAAGAAATAACATAGATTATCTGTGTGTTTTTTATGCTCAGCATGTTTCATTGGAGAGACTTTATTCACGAAATAAAAGGGTACTTCAGAAGTTCGAAGGTCTTTAACGATGCTAAAGAAATAATGACCGAAGTCGCTTAAATGAACCTAACGCGAGTGACCTAGATCATTTTCGTATCTTTCCTTGAAATGATCAAGCATAAAACCACAGTAGGAATTTTATATCTCAGTTAACCGTGCTAAACTGTGTTAAATTCTCGTCGAATTATGTTCAAGCAGATACAATATTGCAATAAATTACGATACGGACATTGTAGGTAAATATGTTAAATTAATTAATATCGAATGATATATAATGACATTTATTTCCTCGAAATATGGATGAAAGAACGGCTGTACGATATTTCATTTGAAGATTTCGGAAGCAATAATAGGATCTGGAAAAAACATGTCCCACTCAATTTTTCTGTTGAACTCTCTCTATTTTTGCTACCTTCCCTCGATATACTATTTTTATGCAAATTTGAGATTACGACTTTTTCATATTTTCCCCGTTTTCCGACTCGCTATAAATCACTGTCACGTAGCTAAAGCGGGTATTTTCGTTCCGAGGCGGGAATGCAGTCCTCTCTCTCTCTCTCTCTCTCTCTCTCTCTCTCTCTCTCTCTCTCTCTCTCTCTCTCTCTCTTTCTCGCTCCCTCGCTCTGTCGCTCTCGAGTCCTTGATTCAGCGTCGATATGAGAAGAAGTAAGGTCCGGGGAGTAAAAAGAGAGGAATCGCAGAAACACGCAAATGCAAGTTCCGTGTAAACCCAAGAACCGATGCTAACCGATCGGTGAACCAAGCGGCAACGAACTTCTGAATGCAATTAAAATTTATCCAACGTTGCACTCCGGTAACGAGCGTATCAGGTTTGTGGTCAACCTCGAAGCAATCGTTACTCTAATGGCGTAATTAGCTCATAGCTGCGCGCAGTTCGTGGTTCCTCGCGATGACACGAACAAAGCAATCGGAAGCGACCAAGTTACATCCCGGTTTTCGCTGCCGCGGTTCTACCACCTCTCTTTGAGTAGAGAGATTGTCATTAGCGAGATAATCCTTCGTCACTAATGATACCACTTTGTCTCTGTTCATCATCACTCGGACCTTTCACTCTTATTATTTTTGTCTCGTTTTTCTATTTTTGTTATCAGTACGATGTACACGACAGGACTCGGAATTAATGAATAAATATTGATTGACCCGGAAAAAGTGCCGCGTGACATCAAACATCCATTTTTAACCGCGTACTGAAATAGTTACGAATTTCTATTCACGAACGAAACGATATCAATAAAAAATAATATGCCGAATAGTTCACCGCGGAGTTTTTTTTAAATAATTACCGACGATTATCCTGTTCGACTATTTACACGATTGGGTCAATTAGTATCGACGGCGAGGATAAAAAAGAAAATGTATAATTCAAGAGAGACGAGGAGGAGAGAGACAAGAAATCGGGTTCCTTCAAAGTACTGTCCTTTTCTCGGTCGCTGATTTTCGTTGAGTATCGATCGCTCACGAGCGTTCCTTCTATCGCGGGCGCAGCTTTTTCCATCTTTCATCGCCGCCTATAAATCACCGTCGGTACGCCTGGACGAAATGTATCTTCTCGTTCGAATAGGATTTTTGGTTTCGACGTCAGTTCCACCGTGCCATCCTGTCCCACCGATGGGACACGGGAGAATGGAAAAAGATGGCCGTGATGCAGTTCCGGTGTCCACGTGAATGGGACCCTCTCCACCGTTTCGTTCCCCTTTCGCGACGCTCCTCCGTATTTTCCTCGCTGGTGTCCGTCTGTCCGGAAATCGCGCGAGTTGCAATTGATCTACTCCCGATCACAACTTAATGGAGGATTCGAAATTTTCGCAAATTGGAACGAGAAAATCTCGCTTCCCGATTCAATCGGAGCTCCGATAAATCACCGATCAATTTCTACGCGGGCACATATTTTATCAACCGTGATATCCTGCCTTCTTCGTCGATTCCCGTAATTGTTATTCGTTCGTTTCGAGAAGAATGGGGCGAGGGGAATGATAATGGCCCGGCATCGATCAACCCGTTGAAAAATTTCACATCGTAATCGAGTACGCCGTCGACCAATATCGATAACAAAGTATATTCCCCCGACGAACGTGTGAAAGACCTTTGCGATGAATGCACGCGTTCCAACCCTAACGCGAGGGGAGTCCCTGGCCGAGAAATGATCGAACCGCAACGCGCCGTTTACTCGTTCATGGTCATAATGACGGACGCGAACTCGATTTGGAAATTTCACGAGATTGAAACAACGCAACGTACCGATGACCACAGACGGTCGATGCCTGTACACCGTGTATAGCTGCATAACTGCCAGTTTCAGCCGCGATATGACGCGCCATGAATAAGTCTGTAACCGCTCTTGTTGCCTCGACATTGTCAGCACGGCTAGCTTTCAACGGTCCGTTGTCGACGCGACGACGCGCGCCGCAACCCTTCTATGCTGCCTACTCGTTGTGACGCGCGTAATGAGAACGTCGAAATTCAGACTGATCCCTTTTAACGCTCTGCTCACCACTCGCACCGTTCCTGTAATTCGCCGTGAACAGTTAACTCGCACGGATTCTAGTGGGCTGAAATTAATCAGCTATCGTTCAAACGCTCGTCGTTTCCGAAACGAGTATCTATTTTTTTAATATGAAAAATCCATCGGGTTGTATTTTGTCGCGAATTGACACGAAAAATGGAACAACAAGCGCGTTAACCCAATTCTGTTCTGAACTTAAATGATGTATTTAATTGCAATATCAGAAACTAAATACGAATCGAAATCGTTTTCAGTTACTAAATACGTACCTCATTAAGGTGCAATAAAAAATGGTTATAGCGAATTGATGAGATCGAGGAAACGAATATATCGTGTGAAACGTGGTATCATAAAAGAGAAATGTTTCGACCGACTCCGGTTACATTTAATATCGTGACGAACAAAAATATATATGTATGTGAGTGTATGTGAGTAATCGTCAATTTTTATTATCTGCCCGCCGGCTGGTTCGCACACTTCACTCGACGTCGTTATAAAACCATCCGGAGAGCTCGACCTCGTGGCATATTTTCACGTTCGGATTGCAATATGGTAGCTTCCTAAGAAACGAAATCGCCCTCTGACGTTTCTGGTTCCGCGCAAGTTTCGCGCTATCGCCCATCCTCGTTCCGTAGCAATTAATGTAATGAGGGAATAAACCTCGCAGAGGGAATTATACGAGCAATTTATCTGCGAAAGCTCATCTTCCGCTGACAAGTCCATTATTGTATTTCAAATTCGCGTCGGCTGGCTTTATTTCGAATAAAGGCTTAGCCCGTGAAATTCCGTTCACGGAACTCCCGAGAGGCCTGTAATGCAATTTGAATAGAAAGTAGTGTACGCAGACGGTTGCATTGGTTTTGTTTCGTTCCAAGCGGACAGAATCATTTATCGTTTACTTATAATACAATATTTGTACTTTGTAATGCATTAAGTAATGCATTATTGAAGGAGACTCACGTATACGTAGATGTCGCGAAATTGCGCAGAAGCGAAGTTCATTCTCTCGCAAGTTAATTTTTATTCGCGTTAAGGGCTTGCCTCGCCTCATGCATTATGAACAAAGGTTATCACAAGGGATTTTTCCCGAGCGTCAGAGAGGGCCGTGTACTCGCGACCGCTTGTTAAAAAAAAAGGAAAAAACGAAAAAACACGAAAAGGATTATTCGTCAGCGAGCACCGTAATAGATTAAACTTCCTCCTATGAATTACGCGACGGCAAAATTACTCTAGTATTATGAACCACGCCAAGTATCCCCAGCCCTCTTATAAAAGTTTCGAGCAGTTTTCTTATTTAAAGTCCTCCTCGCTTCCCACGGTTCATTAAAACACGATTTTGTCGTGCCAAAGTATTTATGTAAATGTCTAGCACGCGCATTTTCTCGTAAAAGTAGAGAAAAATGATTGTCTCCGAGGTGCTAATAAATGTCATTGATTAAATAAAAAGAGTTCAATGTTAACAGACTCGTAATCATTTTACAATCCGCTTGTTTCAGAACGCCGGCAGGCCTGGAGGACGTCAGCAAGTACCCGGAACTTTTCGCGGAATTGTTAGCGCGCGGGTGGTCAGAGAAGGATATTCAGAAACTGGCTGGCCTCAACCTGATTCGTGTCTTTAAAGCCGTGGAGAAGGTGAGCGAGTACTTCCTTATTCTCGTCGCGCGATGCCTGAACCGCGCGTACTCAGGGAAAATCATTGGTAACGGTACAGACCGATAGGTAATCTGATTTCTGACGCGAAACAACCGACACCGTGGAACCGGGTTAGTCGAGTCGACCAATATCCGATTTAATAAAGCACACAAATCATGCATCCGGGTGTGCATCGTCGAAAGAGAGAAAGGGACGAACTTAACCGTACGCTGTACATCCACTGACGATTTTTGTCCAGTTGGAGCCCTGCCAATTCCAGAACCAGCTGGCTTGATCCTCGAACCACCGTCCCCTTTCCATAACTTGGACCTATCTACCACGTGCATCGTGTGCATATGTACGAATCACTATACATATGTATACTAATCATATGTTCAATGCCTGCCTTTCCGAGCAGTGCCGTTATGAACACAAGAATTCCATTTGTCTACAGTAAAGCTCATCAGATCTTCTTATCGTCATATTTGATTATCACTACTTTGTTCTCTTGATAAACATACGCTTTAAAGATCATTACTCTTCGACTCAGCGTTATCGTGTTCGCAAAAATCTCCGTCTATCAAAGAGAGTTTCTCTTACAGTCTTGTTACTAACATTAATTTATCGTGAGCGACGTACAGCAGCCTGAATCTGACAAGAGAACAAATAGTAAACGAACGTAATTCGTATCGTGTCGTGACGTTGCACGTAGAACCCCGCCGGTCGGTTTTTACGGAACGCATTAATTTCGAAGTTTTACTTAAGCCAACATTTTCCGCGGTTCGTCTTTTTGTCGCTTCTCATCATAAAAACTACGTTTCGTCGAGCAGGAGAGGATCGAAAGCCAGGCTCCCGAACGCGCTTTAACGGGGCATTAGTCGAGTCACGCAGCCGGCTGGTAATGCGAAATTACGCGTACAAATAGTGCCGGCAATTTGACGGCCCTCGACGCAATCGTCGCTGAAATTACAACGATGATTTAATCGCGACGCACTGTTTCGACGCAAAGCTGTAACAGCACAAAAGCGAGTTCGTTGACACGTAGAAGTAACGACCGACGTTAGAAGACCGGACGTCACAGATATTCGAGCGCTGGTTTCAAACAGTCCCTTTTAAGGATGTATTGGCTACACAGTCAATCCCAAAAGTTTATGCACTTTAGAAACGCATTTTTTAAAAAGAAATCAGACGTCGGAAGAACATTGCTAATAATAAACAA